ATTTGATTCATTTTTGTACAACTATGATCATTGAAATACTAAATAAATTTAATTTTCATTGAATTTTAGTAAAAAAATTGGAATTTAATAATAAAAAATAATATTTCAATAATATTTATTATATAATATTATATATATATATATATATATATATATATATTATTTAAATAATAATATAATATTATGATAAAAAAAAAAATAAAGAATATATTGTTCCAAAATTAGAATACAACAAAATTCCTTTTTTTTTTTTTTTCAATTTAAAATTGTAAATTTTTGTTACAGGGTAAAAATAATAAAACGCCTTCAAAATGGGGGCAATGTTCAGAAGTGAAGAAATGGCCCTTTGCCAGTTGTTCATCCAACCAGAAACTGCTTATCTTTCCGTTTCTGAACTTGGAGAAACTGGCACGGTTCAATTTCGTGACGTAAGTTCCATCGAATCCTTTTTTTCAATTTAATTTTCATTATCAATCAAATTTAAACCTTAGGACAACCCAATAAGACTTTTGTGAACCCAATTAAGCTACCAGACTATAATCATAAGTTAAAGTTTCACTTGAAACTAAGTTGGTTTCTCAAAAATAACTTTATTGGGGTTAAGCTAATGGGATTTAATTTGATTATCAAATGTTTATTCATCGAGAACAATAATTCTAAACGTTTTCTTAGCTGAACGGGGATCAGAATTATTTTCAACGAAAATTCGTTAACGAAGTACGACGATGCGACGAATTAGAAAGGAAATTACGATACATCGAAGCGGAAGTTAGAAAGGACGACGTACCAATACCCGATAATATGTCACAATTACCAAGGGCACCTAATCCACGTGCTATCATAGATCTCGAGGTTAGAAATTTGTCATCTTTTTTTTATTCCTTATTATCTTTATATTATATGCCCATAATTTTGAAAGTGATTTCAGTCAAAATTTCAAAAGATAACCAAACAAATTGAATTTATATTCAATTATATTTCACATAACACAGACGTTTATTTTCATATTAAACAAATTCAGTAGAGTTTTGAGAATATTTTTCAAAATTATTTAATCATCAGATAATGTTTTTTATTTCAATATTATATAAATAAGTCATTTGTAACGTTCATTCTAACGTTCAACGACTTTAGTGGTATCAAAGTAATACTACGCAGGTCAATTTTTGTAATATTTGTATCAAAAAACCCAATTGAATTTTTTTAATTTTTTTTTTTTTATATTATTGTCGATAGAATAAAGTTTGTTGATTAACAAGATTAATTAAAATTATTGATTAATAATCAAAACTCGTTAATAAAATTAATTTATTTTAATTTAAAGGTTAGAAAGTGACATTAACAAATATTGGGATCTCTGGCAGGGGCGTGGCGTAGCAATTCGACCTATCTAATGTAATTTTGAATTTAGCCACTAGATAGCGTATTCAAGTTCTAGAGATGCCAATAATTCTTTAACCTATTTGAATGCTATAATAATAATAATAATAATAATAATAATAATAATAATAATTTATTTGAAATAATAATATATATAATTATTATTTATATTGTTAAATGCATTTTAGTAAAATTTATAATAACAATAAAGTATTTCATTTTTTATGAAGTATTTTTAGTAAAAACTTATTTAGCAACGAAAAGGTTTAAATATTTTCAAAACAAGAGATAATATGACTTAAAATTATTTTCATAATTAATGGGCAGATATTTGAGATGATAAATAATAAAATAAAAAAATAATTGTTATGTATAACAATTGTTATTTTAAAAGGCCCATCTCGAGAAAACGGAGAACGACATACTAGAGCTGAGCCACAACGCGGTCAATTTGAAAAGCACCTATCTAGAACTGACGGAATTATGGCACGTCCTAGAGAAGACGCAAGTATTCTTCACGGAGGTACCTACCTAAAAGTAGTTGAGCAGCTATTATCCTCTCACATAGCGCGCGCCGTCCTCCTTCGTGTAATCTCGATGTTACCGTTTTGTCGAAGAATCAAGAGTCGTTTCTTCTTCTTCTATATCAACAGGAAGAGGCCAACGACTCGATCACTAGGGCTCTGATTAACGAGGAAGCACAGAATCCGAGTGCTTCGAGTCGAGGTAGACTCGAGTAAGTTTAACCATCATTTATTTATTAATTAATTTCATTAATTTTATTAACAATCACAATACTTTATACAGTTTCAAAATGCAAATGTAAATACAATCAAAATGGCTGTATTTTTGATTAAGTTTGTCAACTGATATTTGATTATATTTACATTAAATTTCGTTTAATATTGAATAGGGGTTAGTATACTCCTTCCTATTGATTTATATAATTAATTTTATTAACAACACAATACTTGATGCAGTTTCAAAATGTTAACTTTAAATACAATCAAAATGGGTGCATTTTTGATTAAGTTTGTCAACTGATATTTGATTATATTTACATGAAATTACGTTTAATATTTTGTAATCATTTTAATTACATCCCTATTATTGATTTGTATAATTAAACTTTACAAACAACACAATACTTTATGCAGTTTCAAAATTCAAATGTAAATACAATCAAAATGGGGGTGTATTTTTGATTAGGTTTGTCACCTGACATCTGATTATATTTATGTTAAATTTCGTTTATTATTTTGTAATGATTTTAACACTAGATATACCACCATTTTTAGTATACCTATTTCTACTACACTAATCAAAATGTGTATAATATATTATTGATTTATATAATTATTAATATTATTTTGTATAGATTCGTTGCCGGAGTTATTAATCGTGAACGAGTACCAACCTTTGAGAGAATGCTATGGAGAATATCACGTGGAAATGTATTCCTTCGTCAAGCAGAACTCGAAAAACCATTGGAGGATCCAGCTACCGTTAGTGTCATGCGTCCATTTTGTTTTTGTTTTTATGTTTAATATTAAATAGAAAAATTAGAACAAAAGTTCGTCAATTTTATAAATTAATATTTTAATAATATTTTCATTAAATATATTCAAAAAATTGCATTTAATCCAAAACACAGTGTCACAAAATTACGAACATTTGTTTCACTCAAAATACAAATTGCATCTTTCCAACTTATATCTATTTGCAATCTCCATTGCAAGCTATTCATTGTGTTTAAATTATTTCATAAAATTGCTTTTTAGGGCAACAAAATTTATAAAACAGCATTCGTCGCCTTTTTCCAAGGTGAACAATTGAAGAGCCGTATTAAAAAAGTTTGCACCGGATTTCACGCTTCCCTTTATCCTTGTCCAAGTAGTCACGCAGAACGTCAGGAAATGGTTAAAGATGTACAAATACGATTAGAGGATTTAAACTTGGTGAGAATTTAATGAACAATATCAAGAATTATTCCTAATAATTATTAATTAAAAATATTATACATATATATATATATAGATATAATTCGTTTGTGTTCCATTGCATGTTTTTTCTCTGCCCATCTGTCGATTTATTTGTAGGTGTTAAATCAAACACAAGATCATCGTCAACGTGTATTACATAGCGTGGCTAAAGAATTATTCAATTGGAGTATCATGGTTCGTAAAATGAAAGCTATTTATCACACGATGAATCTATTCAACATGGACGTTTCGAAGAAATGTTTGATTGGGGAGTGTTGGGTACCAGTTGCAGATTTAGGACTTGTACAGGCTTGTTTAACGGAAGGTTCTGTAAGTTATCCTTTAATCTAAATCTTGAAAGAAAAAAAAATACAAAAATTGAATTTTGTAAGTTTACTAAATGAAAATATACAAAATCAATTTTTCTTTCAATGAAGTACAAGATGGTCCATGGTATTTAAGTATTTAATTTACATTCATCTTGTTTGTTGTTATTGTTGTTGCATATTCTTCGAATATTTCAAGAGATTTATTATCATAGTCAATGAAAATGAAAAGTATATAGAAGAAGAAGAAGAAGAAGTTATTAACATTTTATGTGGACCATCTTCATTTTTACAGTCAACCAATTTTAGTACATAAATGTTATCTTCTTCTGTTAGAAACTTTGTGGTAGTACAATACCATCTTTTCTCAATATAATTCAAACGAGTGAAGATCCACCAACCTTCAATAGGACAAATAAATTTACTAAAGGATTTCAAACGTTGATTGATGCATATGGTATAGCTTCATATCGTGAAGCTAATCCTGCACTTTACACCATTGTTACTTTTCCTTTTCTATTCGGTGTTATGTTTGGGGATGCTGGTCACGGTTAGTATCAATTATTATTTTAAAAATAAATAAATAATAATGTAGATTGTTAAGTACAACTTTAAATATGAATTTACAATCTGAATTTTTCTTTTCAAGGCTAATTTTCTATAGTTGTCAAAAATTAGAAATGAATTAATATTGAAATATGTATCGGTGCTTTCAAAAATTCATATTTACAAGTATACTTGTTATTTTGTATCCTAATTTATTTGTTTTTAGTATCCTAACCTCTAAAATTTGACAAAATTAAATCTATAATAATAATAATAATAATAATAATTAATAATTATTAAATTTATTTGTATTTATGTCACCAGGTATAATATTGACAATATTTGCCGCCATTATGATATTACGTGAAAAGAAGATAATGGAACAAAAATTGGAAAATGAAATTGCAAGTATATTTTTCGGTGGTCGTTACATTATATTACTGATGGGTATATTTTCAATTTATACTGGTATCATTTATAACGATGTATTTGCAAAATCGTTAAATATCTTTGGATCCAGTTGGAAAATTCATTACAATTTTACGGATGTACAAAATCATCATGCTTTAACCTTGGATCCAGCAACTAATGCTTATGAACAATCACCTTATCCACTTGGGGTTGATCCTGTTTGGTCACTTGCCGAAAATAAAATACTCTTTCTTAATTCATTCAAAATGAAATTGTCCATAATATTTGGCGTCGTTCATATGATATTTGGCGTTTGTATGAGCGTCGTTAATATTATGTAAGTATTTAAATAACATTTTTTTTTTTTTTTTAATAAAAATTACATTTTTAAATTAATTAATACAATCATTGTTTTTTTCTTTTTTTTTTTTTTTATTAATTGTAGACACTTTAAAAAATATTCGAGTTTGTTCTTCGAATTTTTACCACAATTAATTTTCCTACTGGTATTATTTTTCTACATGGCAGTTTTGATGTTCATTAAATGGATTTTATACGATGCTACCTCACCAGGTATATATATCATATTATTATTATTATTTAATAATTTGTACATTGTCAATTTGTTTGATTAACATTTTTTTTTTTTTTGAAATATTTTTCATGTCAGCATTAAGATTTAAACCGGGTTGTGCACCATCCGTATTAAATACCTTTATTAATATGATGTTATTTCAACATAGTAAAGTGGAAGAAGGTTGTTACGAATTTATGTTCGAAGGTCAAGCGACAATGCAAACGTGTTTTGTATTGATTGCACTTTTATGTATTCCAACGATGTTACTTGGTAAACCGCTTTACACGCAATTTTGTTTGAAACCAAAATTAAAACAAGTTGGTAAAGTTTTAGTAAGTATTTTTTAAATATTGTTAAACACACACACACACATACCTATAGATAGCTAAGAAAATTAATCAAATAAAAATAAATTGTATTACAGAAAAATGGTAATGCATCACAAGATATAGAATTACAAAATACACCATCAAGAAGTCAAACTGTTAGTGTACAACAAGATCATGATAGTGATTTTGGTGAAATGATGATTTATCAAGCCATACATACGATAGAATACGTTTTATCAACAGTTTCACATACTGCATCGTATTTACGTCTTTGGGCTTTGTCATTAGCTCATTCTCAATTATCTGAAGTTCTTTGGAACAGGGTTTTACGAATGGGGTTAGGTGCTTTAGAAGGTGGATACGTTTACAGCATTATTTTGTTCTTTATTTTTGCCGGTTGGGCATTTTTTACTATTGCCATTCTCGTATTAATGGAAGGATTATCAGCCTTTCTTCACACTCTTCGGTTACATTGGTAAATCTTCATTTATCTTTATTTAATAATTATATGAATATAAATATTAGCTGGAGCAGAAAGTAATGTCGCATTTTAACCCTCAAAATTCAAACAAGTTTTTATTATTAATTAATAATTCAGTTAATTAATCATATTATCAACAATCTTTTTTTATTTGGTATTGGGATCTCTGGAAGGGGCGTGGCGTAGCAATTCGATCTATCTACTGTAATTTTGAATTTAGCCACCAGATAGCGTATTCAAGTGCTACAGATCCCACCACGTAGCATAGCAATTCGATCTATCTACTGTAATTTTGAATTTAGCCACCAGATAGCGTATTCAAGTGTTAGAGATCCCAATACAAATGTTTAATATCATCAATCGTTTTTTTTTTTATTTCAAATATTAGAAATAATTTGACATGCGTAGTAACGACGCCATTAATTTTCGATTCGTCTAATATTATTTGTGTATAAAATATAATTTTCTTTTTTTTATTTCTTGTTTTTACAGGATGGAATTTATGAGTAAATTTTATAAAGGAGAGGGACACATTTTTCAGCCATTTTATTTCAAAAATATATTGGATGCTGAAGATGCCGAAGATTAAAAAAATTGTTTATAAATATATATATATATAATAGATCAATTATATAAAGCAATAATATAATTTTTATCGAAATATTTCGCTTTCTATATCAAAGATTTTTTCTATATCTTACATAATGAAATAATATTTCAAATTATTATTATTATTATTATTATTATTAATATTATTATTATTATGTAAAGGAAACAAAAGACAGGGTTTTTTTCCAAACTTCCATAACGTGTGCCTTTGGTCAAAATTTTAATATACAATAATTAAATTAATATAAATTGCAATATATTATATAATATACAATTGTCAGAGTAAACAAAAAAACACACACACACACATACAAAATAATTGAATATTTCTATATGGTGTCAAAAAAAAAAATTAGGCAGAGTTGTTGGATTTAATTCAATTTTTTTCTTTTTTTTGTAAAAAAGAAAATACGATCGATGTGTTATGTTTTAACTTTTGTCACTGTCATTTTAAATATTTCCTTGTTATATAATTATAATTATAATTATTATTATTATTATTATTATTAACACGTTCACGTCGGCGCGTACCACCGGTGGCCCGCACTAAACTGTCTCATCGGGCGGCTTGTACCACCGGTGGCCCGCACTAGACTGTCTCATCGGGCGGCTTGTACCACCGATGGCCCGCACTTGACTGTCCCATCGGGCGGCGCGTACCATCGGTGGTCCACTTTGGTCCAAGTTTGAACAAGCAAAAATCACGCGCCGCCAGATGAAGCGCATTTTAGATTCGAGTGCCGCCCCACAGCGCAGACATTGAAAATCGGCGCCGGCGTCAACGTGTTAATATTATTTTCTCTTCCAATTTCTTTATTTCAATATAAACTTGAGCTTTATCGTTTATTCTTTTCTTCTGTAATTTTATTAACAGTTCAATTTTGAAAAGTGTTCAAATGAGAAAGAAGAAGAAGAAGAAGAAGAAGAAGAAGAAAATGTAACAAAATTTTTGCGTGTAATGTTAAAATTCATTCCATTAGTTACAATCTGCCATTATCCCGATATGTTTATAGTTTTAAATAATAATAATTCTATATACATATATATATATAGTATACATAAATACATAATATACATACGAGAGTTAACACGTACGAGCGTCACCACGCGAATTTTTAAGGGAAATTCTTGTCAGGCCACGGTATACTTTGTATTGAAAGAAAATAGATGACACGTGTCAGTCACATATGACTGACGTGGCCGAAATGTAAAGTCTAGTGTCAATCATCGGTGACTGACGTGGCCTAAACGTAAAGTCTAATGTCATTCATCGATGACTGACATGGCGGCGGTCAACGTGTTAATGGCAACGATTGTATTTCATGCACGCCGCTTTAATTTTAATTAACAAGACAAAAAAAAGAAGAAGAAGAAGAAGTTAATGATAATTAAATGTCGAGAGTATAAAATATAACATTCTGTATTAAAATAAAGTACAAATTCTTTATAGTGAACAGTCAAGAGTAATCATGTGTTAATAAAAATAAATACTAAAACAAAACAAAACAAAACAAAAAAATATGCTAGTTATATAGGAAATATATCAAAATGATTATGAATATTTTAATATTACGAGAATGTAAACTATTTAGAAACAAAATAAATAGAAAGATGATAGAAAAGTGTGATGTGAAATATATATTATACTAGGGATGCCTCGCCCACGCGTTGCTGTAGCTCACAATCAATCCGATACACACGTATTTAAGTCAACGAATTAGATTATACCGCCATCTGTTAGAATCTTATCGAACTAACAGAGATAATCATGACTCTTTGTTAATAAACAAATAATTTGATTATAAATTGAGATATAAACTATTCTATCTTTCAAGTTGGATGAAATTGCACACAGTGTGCTAAATTTGATTAAAATTGGTTCAGTAGTTTAGGAGTCCATTGCGGACAAACAACGTGACACGTAATTTATATATATATATTGGGATCTCTGGCAGGGGCGTGGCGTAGCAAAATTCAACCTGTCTACTCTAATTTTGAATTTAGTCACCAGATAGCGTATTCAAGTGCTAGAGATCCCAATATCTTTTATATGTATCAGAATATTATTGTTTCATTTTGTTTAAATTACAAAATAAAAAGTTATCGATGATTCGTAATATAAAAATTATTTACATTATTATTATTATTATTATTATACTTTGTTTTATTTAATTTTAATTATTAAAAATATCCTATATTATTTAACATTATATAAATCTAATATTAAATTTATTAAACTAATAATTGTACATTTTATCGAATTTTATAAAAAGAAAAATGTAAAAGAAAATATTAATAACTTTTGATTAACTATGTATATGATGTACATATTACTTAGCATATACATGAAGTATATGTGTGAGTATATGTATATTATATTTTTCTACTTAAACAACCTTGCGGATAAAATGAAGAGACAAGTGTTAAAGTTTCCATAATGGATATAGTCAGATCCCAGTTTTAATACTCACGCGTATCGGTTCAGTTATCTGTTATCATTTTGTTACCTGTCTTCTTACAGTTAGTAAGTTCATTATTTAAAAAAAAATAATAATATATATAAATATTATATACAATTATATAATAATAATAATTAATACTATTTAATATAATACACTATATAATATAATAATACTATAACAATATAATAATATATAATAATAAATAAATAATATATAATAATACCATAATAATATAATACATTATATAAAATATAATAATAATAATTATTATTATATATATTAATAAATTAATATAACATCTAACAAATATAGTGCAATTTTAGTAAATATTTCTAAAATATAATTTGTTTCATTAAAATATATCTACATATATTGATTTATTAAATTATCTTAATGGACAGGTTTGTATATAATAATAATAATAATAATTAAACATAATTTTTTTTGTATTATTATTTAAAAAACAATTTATTAATAATAATATATCGCTTTTTACAGACGTATTATCATTCATCGTTTAATTTTCATTCAATTTATTTTGATCATTTTTCTATGTGTCTACGTTAAAACAGAAAATTATCAAAACGAATGGGTTTTACGAATCAATGGTGGTTCACATGTTGCATATTTATTGGCAAAACGTTTTGGTTATACTTATTTTGGTCCGGTAATTATTATTCATTATTTTATCTTGAGATTTTTAATATTAATAACAGAATCATAATATAATTCATAAACGTCATAATACTTACTCACTTTCATGTTACAAATACATTTATGTATTACGATGAGATCATCTTCTTGTATATGGGGGAACGAACATCTGTTAAATGGTAGCCATGTTTCCGGTTGATAATTCAAAAAGGATCAATCTAATCTTAAGTGTATTTCAAACATACAAAGTTCATGCGTACTTTAAACACAGATAAATCTAATGGTTTCTTTTCTCAACTATATTTTATAATAAAAATAATAATATATAATTATATAAAATAATATTTATTAGAGGTCTATCAGAAAATTCAGTCCGTTTAAACAAACATTAGTTCAATTTTTCGTCACTAGGGGTAAGACTCCATTTTTTTAAAATGGAATGAAATGAAATGAAATTAAATCAAATGAAATGAAATGAAATTAAATTAAAATGAAACCGTGAACGTTTAAAAGGATACTTATGCATACATATGAATGAAACAAAATTTGTATTTAATAAACAAAATAATGTCCACTTTTTATCGAAATATTATTACATAAAACTTTCACATGAATTTGAATTTATTTGAACAATTTTATAAACGATGTTTAACGTAAGTATCACTCGTTTCTAATTGCAAAATATAAATATTCATATTATGCAAATTATTACAAATAGGATAGAATAGAAAAATATTTTACCACCTAGTATAAATTTGATATTTATTATTTTTATGTTATAATTAATAAATATACGAGTATATTATACCATGATAAAATAAATGTCATGTATATATTAGGTCGAGTCATAAATAAATTCCGTTTTTATGAGACAAAGAATAACGTTTCTGCCACTAATAAGTGCACGACACTTTTCATGGTGTTTTTTTTGCCTTCTTTGTATTTGTTGGACGTATCTATTGAATTTTGCTTCAATATTACCTTTAAAAGGTTCGTTAAAGTTGGAAATACGTCCCACACTCGGTTCGTCTTTTAAGATCGTATCTCCAGAACGGAATTTTATAAACCAATTTCTGACTRCCCTATCAGTTATCAGTCCTGCACCGTATACGCTGTATATTTTTTCAGTTGCCACCTTAGTGATATTGCCTTGTTTCAATTCCTAAAACATTGCATGTCGAATATGCACTTTTTACTATCCATTTCAGTGGTTAAGAAAAACGTTTAAATGTAACATTGACTACATAAAGAAACATGTGTGCAAATCACACGTGTTAGAAGTGAAATCTTCAAAAACTAAGTTTCGAGAGAATGAGACGAATACAAAATATCTGGTGTAAGGATAATTGTATTCTCTTCTTATTTAGTATCGCGACCGTTTCATTRYCTCCCACCGCTCCGTTACATAGCCGCCTACCGCTCCGTTACATTTTTTCAAATCACACCCATTCTAAAGAAGTTTTTATTTCAAAAAGTTGACAGAAGACTAACTGAATCCTCATCTATACAGTGATATCAAAAATCCGTTTGTTTCGGTGACTTATAGTTGGTAAATACGAAAAATAGATTCTATATAGCCGCATCGGAAGTTACTTATGACTCGACCTAATAAATATAATAAAATATAATAATCTCATATAATTTGTGTTTTAAATATTGATGTTGCAAAAAAATTCCAAGTAAAATTTATTTAAATAAAATTCACAAATAATCGAAGTTTTTTGTATCATCAATTTTATTTTGTTGTAAAAATAATTAGTAACAATGATTATAAACACACTTATAATTTTTGGTAGAATTTTTTTATTACGTAATCAAAAATGAGTGTAATATATGGTGTATAATATGATTATGATTTTGATCCTTGACGATGAAATGACACATATGTGTGATCCCTTTATAAAAAGGGCCAAAGAGGAAACACGTGACATCCTATAATAATAATAATACTACACACATTGTGGATACCCCACTTAGTGTTCCATTACTTATCTCTAAAAGACACGTTCGTTCAGTATACCAACTATGTTCGCATGATATCCTGATCGAAGCGTCCCTTTTCCTACGATACGAAGGGTGAAAATAGAGTCGTCGGGACGCCCTTTGCTATATTTAATCAATGTCATTTTCAAACATGGCTGATATATAAAAGAAAAAAAAAACAAAGCAAGAATAAAGGGGGGCTACCAAATTGGCGTTTATTATTAAACAATTTCATTTATTTTTGTTTTGTTGAAGTGAGGGTGATTTATAAAAAGTAAAGTGACGTCTTAACCGGAAGTAAGGAGGTCAGGAAGATATTTTAAATTCATAGAAAGATTATTTATACCTGAGGATAAATTATTGGGTTGACAACTAAGTAATTGTAGATTTTTCAAGGAAAATGATTGATTAAATCCCCAATTACTTAGTTGTCAACCCAATATTTGGGTAATTTATTTAGGTTAGGACAGAGTATCTTTAAGTTGACAAAAATCTTACGATTTTTTTTGTCTATTTATGGCTATAGTATTTGGAATTTCATTTGAATTGCTAGAATTTGGAAAGATGGTAGTTTTTGGGGGAGTTTTCGGGTAGTTTTGGGGTACCCCACATCCCAAGATCATTTGGGTACCCTTTGGTATATACAATATAACAAATAAATCATAATAAATACAATAATATAATAAATAAACCTTACAATATTATCTTATTCTTGATACTCTGGAAATCTGAAATTACTTAGTTGTGAACTCAATATTATTTATTTAGGTTAGGACAGGGTATCTTTAAGTTGACAAAAATCTTATGGTTTTTATGTCTATCTATGGTTATAGCATTTGGGATTTCATTTGAATTGCTAGGATTTGGAAAGTGATAGTTTTTGGGTAGTTTTGGGGTACCACCATCCCAAGATCATATGGGTACCCTTTGATATATACAAAATAACAATGATATAACAAATAAAATATAAATACAATAATAATGGTTAAAATATGAATCTGTTCATTTAGATTATTAATGATATTTTCATTAAATAGGTTCGTGGTTTTGAAGATACTTATATATGGATAAAGGATAATAAATTAGGACAAAAGAAAAGAGGTTATGTTTCGTCAAGGATGAATTTTAATTCGAGTTCCAGGGTGATTATTTTCTTTCTTTTTATGCATTATTATAATCATATTTTTTTTTTTATTTATTTTTTTTATTAAATAATTGAATATTTTTTTGTTTATATTATCATGACAGATAAGTTGGGTTGAACAGCAGAAAATTGTACATCGAGAAAAACGCGATTACGTGTTAGAATCGATCATTGATTCAGAAAAACCTTTGATACGTGAAAAACGTTTCCCATGGAATTTATATGGAATAACATCGAATATTATTGATAACCGTAATAAGAACAAAACTTTATTTAATGACGAACTTTGGGACTTAGAATGGTATTTGGTAATAATCAAATATATTCAATTATTTTCATTAATTATTTAAAGTGAATCAAATGTTCATACATTTTTTTCTTTTATTAATATAAATTTATGTTAATTAACATATTAAATAATTTTATTGATTTTTTTTTGTTTATAACAAAATTATACATTCTACTTGAAACAACACAAAATAAATTTACAAATTTTTGATTGATCCTACATTAATTTTTATTTGTTATATTTTTCTTTGTAAATTATTAAAAAAAAAAAAAAAAAAACATTGTATTTTTATTTTAGCAAGATACCAGATCGAGTAAACAATTTCCAAAATTAGATTTAAACGTATTACCAGTTTATGAATTAGGTATTACCGGACGTGGAATAAGAATTGCAGTATTAGATGATGGTTTGGAATACGATCATGATGATCTACGTAATAATTATGTAAGATAAATAAATCATTTAATTTCATTATTCAATTATGTTTACGTAAAATTGTGTTTTTAATTTTATTCTAATTCAATGTCAATAAAATAATACAAATATGTCTTGTGCACGAATTAACAAAACTTTTTAAGAAAAGAACTCAAGAAACTCAAGAAACTGGGATTCAGACATTTCAATAAAATAAAATCAAAGTTATACAATAATATAATTAAATAAACAATCTAACCATTAATATTAATTAAACATTAAATTTTAGGATCCAAATATAAGTTACAATGTAAACGAAGGTACAACCAATCCAATGCCACGATACGAATCAACTGGTATTTTGAAAAAATTCCATCAATTCTAATTGCATTATTCTTTTCCTAATGTATCCGCCATTTTGAAAATTTATTAAGAAAAATATTCAATTAATTAGGAATGAATGCACATGGAACAAGATGTGCAGGTGAAATAGCAATGGAAGCAAATAATGGAAAATGTGGTGTTGGTGTTGCTTTCGAAGCATCCATCGGTGGTATTAAATTACTTGATGGTCTTGTGAACGATCGTGTCGAGGGTGAAGCACTTGGATTCAAACCAGAAATCGTTGATATTTATACAGCTTCTTGGGGACCACCGGATGATGGTAAAAGTTTGGAAGCACCTGGTAGACTTGCTTCTGAAGCTATTTATCGTGGTATCAATAAGGTTTGTTGTTGTTGTTTTTATAATTCAAAACGAAAATATTTATTTTGTGAATATTTGTAAAAAAGTATAAAATTCATTTGGAATACTTTCAAAGAAAAATATTTATTAATTATAATTAATTTTAGTTAGGTTATATTCTAAATTAAACATTATATTTAACTGAATAAATTTAAAGTAAGTAAATATAGTAAAATTAATTTAGTTAAATTTAATTTTTAATTTATAATATAACCTAATAATTAAATTAATTTAAATTAATTTTTAATTTGGAATATAACCTATAACCATAATTTATATATTTTTATATTTGCTATATTATTATTATTATTATTATTATTATTATTATTATTATTATTATTATTATTATTATAATTGCAATACTCCTTTCTAATTAGAATCTAATTTAATTGAAATTTAATTATAATTTGTATATTTAATAACAATTAAATATTATAATATTATAATTAAATATTATTACAAATAAAAATTAATCCAAATTAATTTTTAATTAAGAACATAACCTAATCATAAGTTACATATTTTCATATTCATCATCATATTATTATTATTATTATCATAATTGCAATACTCCTTTCTAATTAATTGTATTAATTGTAAATTTAATTATAATTTATATATTTAATTATTAAAATGAAATATCATTGTAATAATTAATTGAAATGTATTATAATTTAGGGAAGAAATGGTAAAGGTAGTATATACGTATGGGCATCTGGTAATGGTGGTTCAAAATATGATAATTGTGGATGTGATGGTTATGTTGGTAGTATATATACAATTGCAATTGGATCAGCAAGTCAAACTGGTAAATCTCCTTGGTACAGTGAGAAGTGTCCTGCAATATTGGCAACCACTTATAGCAGTGGAGAATATCAAGATCAAATGATTGTGAGTTACATTGTAAATGTATATTTGTTATGGTTAATAATTATTACTGATTATGGGGGATTTTATTTATTACCTAATAAGTTCAGATTAATTTATAAAATATGTTTCATTTGATTCAAACATACCTCATTTTACTCATAACATTCTTCATTGAACATTACTCATAACATAACTCATTGAACATTACTCAAAATATAACTCATTGAAGAATATTTTATACATTGACTGAAACCCTTTAGGGTATTCTATAAAATCCCTAATTTTGTTTCATTCTTAAGGCAACAACTGATCTACGAAACACCTGTACAACTAAACACACCGGTACTTCTGCTTCTGCACCCTTGGCAGCTGGTATATTAGCCCTTGTTCTTCAAACAAAGTACAAACACTTTTATAAATAAATAATTACTTAAATAATTATTAGGGGAATCCTATAAAAGTTCACGTATCTTTTTTATTATATTATAAATCATAACCTTACAATTATTTTTGTTATTTTGTAATTAAAAGGACACCCCACAAAAGTTCACGTACCTTTTTTATTGTATTATAAATCATAACTTTACAATTATTTTTGTAATAAAATTTACTATGAAAATGTGTTAATATTAATAAAAAAAAAAAAAAAAATGGACGTGAATTTTTGATCGATCCTAACTATTTAATTTATTAATTATTATAATTATACATTTCATTTTGTTTCTAGTCAAAATTTGACATGGAGGGATATTCAACATTTGATCGTTTGGACATCCGAGTATACTCCATTAAAGTAAGAACAATTACAAGAACAAATTATTTCAATTAATATTTTATAATAATAACCATTTGTATAAATGTTCAGAGATAATTCTGGATGGTTAAAGAATGGTGCAGGATTTTGGTACAATTTACATTTTGGTTTTGGTCTTATGAACGCATATACACTTGTCAATTTATCAAATAATTGGATTAACGTTCCTCAGAAGGAGTTATGCGAAATTCCCATGGAATTCGTGTGAGCGTCTTAATATATTATCGATTATCTATGAATGTTATGAACCTTGTAATACTTAGATTAAATATTTCATTTTTACAGATTGAATAGGAAATTAATTCATGGAATAATTAAAACAATAAGTTTTGAGGTTAACGATCATTGTTTCAATGGCGTAAATGAGATCAATTTTTTGGAACACGTTGAAATTGAGGTTAATTTGGAATATACTCGTCGTGGGGTTTTGGAAATGTATTTGGTTGCACCATCAGGTAAATATATACATTTTTATGTATACAAATTCAGTGTCATATTGGTTTCCAATTAATTTCGAAATTACTGAAATAGTTTTCATGAAATTTGGTTTATTTTGTTTAATTATTTTCCAACTTAGAATATAGGATAGGTTTTTGTTTGTTATTTTTTTATTGTTAATTTAAGTTTTTATTATTTGAAGGTTATCTAGGGCTGTAGGTTGTGTAAATTTGCAATAGATGGCGTTGTATTACAATCTCAATTATTTCCATTTATTTCACACGTCACACGTTTTAACTTAAAACATAGGATACTTTTTATCGAAATTATTTTGTATTTTTTATTATTAATTTAAGAATATATTAATTAAGAGGTTATCTAGGTCTGTAGGTTGTGTAAATTTGCAATAGATGGCGTTGTATTACAATCTCAATTATTTCCATTTATTCCACACGTCACACGTTTTAACTTAAAACATAGGATAGTTTTTATCGAAATTATTTTGTATTTTTTATTGTTAATTTAAGGATATATTAATTAAGAGGTTATCTAGGTCTGTAGGTTGTGTAAATTTGCAATAGATGGCGTTGTATTACAATCTTAATTATTTCCATTTATTTCACACGTCACACGTTTTTGTATTTCAGATTTAATTAAATTGCATTAAATAGTTTATAATTATTATTAAATTAATGTTTTATAACAAAGCATCTTAGTATTATATATATATAGTATACAATAGTTCATTTTAAATGATATTAAGTATTGTAAAAAAAAATGATGTTTATATTTCCGTAAATTATTAATGAAAGTTTTATAATTAATGATAAATATAGAATATCATTTTAAACAATTTCGTGATACTTTATTCGTAATAAAAAAA